GTTCTCGTTCTCCTAACTATTAAACTAGTACACACCTCTTAGACTCTGAAGAGTTGACAAGGGCCTCCAGCTTTACTAATTTCCAGACATAACGTATTTCAGAACCAAAGAGTAACAGAGCAGTTAGAAGGCAGGAACCACATCTCAAAACAGCTAATGTATTAAAATGTGTTACAATCCTGTTGCTGTTAGCATCTCAAGCTTCCCAAAATACATATTAACGGAGCTATAAAAGTTTCTAACTAGGTGATCTAACAATCCTTTATATAACTTTACATTTTTTAGATGACTATAATGTAGTGGAGCACAGGAAACGCTTTTTTTTGGGGGGGAGGACACCTGTATAGTATTTCAGAGATATTTTAGTATTTTAGAGAGTAAGAGGAAAAAACAGCAGTAAATCATCCAGCACCTGCAATAACTAGATAAGAGAGCAACAATTAATCCTTGGTATTAAAATATTTTGCCTTTCAGAAAAAAGCATGAGAACAACTTTGATAACCAAAATTAAGGAAGTTTACCACATGCCAAAACAAGTTTACCACAAAATATCATCTGAATCCAATTACTTCTCATGTCATATAACATTGCCCAGGGCATGAACAAGGCTCCCTTTCTGATGTTGTCTCAGTTTTTCTTTTCAGCATGCATAAATGAATATTTTCAAAACCTCTGTACTTTACTTTTCTTTTCTAGCTTTTCCACAACCCCTTCCCTCAAATCAAAACCTCTCACAAGCAGGAATGTGGATCCCTATGCAGGAAACAGATGCTGATTGACTGTAGATTTGTTCTTCTTAATTATCTCTCATATATGTTTAAAAGCAGTCCTGCTCCTATGGCTCCATGGACCACAGGTAGGAACCTCCCCTATACATTTTTTCTGAAGAGTTTTCTATCTTCTGGTTGGACCTGTTCGTAATTTCTGGTTTACCAGATTTTCCAGATAGGTCTTCATTTTTCCTCCCAACCCTCCCAGAACATGAGACCAGAAGAGCTTTAGGCATCAATCCAAGATTTCCAGAGGCCCCACAGCCTGGCCAGCATGCCAACAATCTGTGCGTGCACAGTAAGGACATCTGATGCACTCAGAATGTGTGGAACTCACTGCATAGGCAATACGGAACACATATGCACATATTTCCACCCTAAATCCTACACAATGCACCCCTGATATTTTCCTCACTTTTTTGCCTGCGTGAAGTCAAATGGAGTTGTTGAAACTCTGACAGATCCCAACATTCATTATAAATTCATTCCCTCTGATACACCAAATATTTTCCTGTGACATTTGCTTTCAAAGGTATTTTGATGTCTGCTTATACCTTTTACATGTTTCCAGCTTCCATAACCACATGTTAGTCTGGAAATAGAATGAGGTGACAGTGCTGTGAATTACGGTTTCTCTACACCTCAATTTTGTTCAGGCTGGTAAATGCAGTTGCCACATGGCCATTTCTGACATTCCTGCTGACTTATAATTTGGACAAGTGTGGAAAGGTAACTAAGCAATAAAGATTTCTCAGGTTTCCAGATTTATTTTTTCACAATAAATAATCCCATCCTTTTTTGGACAGTGTTTTAGCCTTGCTTAATGGGTGGTTGAATGATGACTCTAAAGAACTCTTTTGTTAACAAAATCCAAATCATCTAAAATACTATATAAGTCATCTGATGCCGTTTATCAAATATACTGTTGCTTTAATTAAGGCAAGTGGTAAAGACAGGTAAGATACATGCTCATTTGATAGTACTGATAACTATAAAAGCTGCAACTTGATATAAACAGGTCTTAATTATGTTATTTTCTTGATGGGCTACAAGACGCCCCAGAATGAATCATACTGGAGACTGCCACGTGCTTTCTTAAAAATCTATGATGAAAAAAGAGTTTTTACCACTTGCTTTACCTACTAAAACATTTTTTCTAATCTGATGTTCCCAGAGTAAAAAAAACCATCTAATTAACGTCTCCTTTCAAACTGAAAGCCAGATTACTGTTTCTTTAAAGGGCAAAAAACTTTGTCCATACACGAAAGCAGCACTGTACCTTGCCACTTAATTCAACCTTGTTTATTTAGTACTTTGAGCATAAAGGCATTTTCCGTTGTGCTGGAGACTTTCTAGTTGTTCGGTAATTTTATTAACGTTTCCATGATATCAAGCATTTTACATTTTCACAGTTACTTAGTTTCACCTGAAGCTTCTTCAGGTTACTTTTATTTGCAGGTTTTACTTCTTTGCTAGAGTATTGGGATCTGATGATCACAAAGAAATAGATTCTGTTTTTAAATTATGGTGCTGAAAATGCAGAAAACATCCACAGGCTACAATGAATTTAGCATGGAACAGAGAGTGATCTTTGGCTTCTACAACACCATTTTCCCAATTTACATTCATTTGGTAAGTTAGTTGTAACTATGTAGCAGATATATATGAAACTTTATTAACAAGTAGGGTTTACATTATAAACATTCACAGTTCAGGAAACTAAACATTATTCTCCATAAAACCCTATAATGGGCTTTTTACTATGCTTTTAACATGCAGAAAGCAAAAGTTATTTCTGTTTTTAGCAACAGTATTTTCCTGACTCCTCCTGTACCTCCTTAAAACATGATCTTATATATGTGATGAGCAACTACCTGTTCTGCAGAGAAATAAATGAAAAGTAGAATAATTCATTAGTATGAAGGGACAAACTAAATAAAGGAAAAAATGTCACTGAAAAACTACCCCTAAAATAATGAAATATGCTTATATATTGTTTTGTGTAATACACAGTTCTTTCTAAAAATTCTATATTTAGTTTAATATTCCCCAAAGTTATTTTGAATACACTGCTAATAATTAAATTATATATGAAACTAAGATAAGGTAGAGAGTATCAGATACAAAATACAGAAAAAAAAATTTAAAATCAAGACGAAGTCAGTAAAAACCTATGCAAACATCTGAATTATGCAGCAACTATTAAACAGTGTTCATCATGTTGCAGAAGAGTACGGATAACAATGCATTCCTAATAAAGTCAAAGAAAAATATTTCTCACCATGACAAAATTGGAAGAGAATAGACTAAAGCTGGCATGACATTGCTTTTAGCCTTATTTTATTGATACTTACTAATTAAAAATTATATATTATCTAAAAAGGCATAAGAAAATAGCTATGGAAAAAAGCAGCTGTACTAAATAACCTGTCATTTTTTTTCATAATGTGCTATATCTAATCACCTTTATTCTAAATTATTATTTCCAACTGAAGTGCAGTTAAATGAGAATTTTATATAATTTATATAAAAGCAATACACTAGAACTCCCGAGAATTGTGTAATATTAAGAGATGTTAAAATTATATTTCTTGCACAGAGATTTAAGAGAGAGCTTTAAGAGTTGTGTCCTTTGCCAAAAACATTAGCATTCAAGTTAAACTGTCACTAGCATGCTTAGCTCACAAGATGGTCTTTTTTAAGTGCACATAATGTTAGAAGCAAAACACAAGTCTGGACTCATGAAACTGCATGAATGTCACCACTATCATTTTGTTACTCACTTCTTCCCCTTACCTTAAAGCCACCTGCATGGGCCACCTGCATGTCCCCTTACTCTTTTCTCTTCTATTCAGTCACATGCTCCTCTAATCCTTCAGTCAGCCTACAAATCTCAACTTGACCCTTTCCAGTTTTCATTTCTGTATTTTTTATTTTGCTGCCCAAACTGTTTTGAGTGTCCCTCAGCACTCACATGGCATGCCAGGTACTACGTAACCATTCACAATCTCTCCTGGGGATTCACTGGTGTGATATAAGAAATAAAAGCCTCAGGAATAATAAACTACTAGCAAATCAGATCTCTCTAAAGTAGCATCATCCTCTAAAGTTCCATAGGGACTCCTCGTCTGTGCTTCAGTATAGACTACAGATCCCTCAGGGCAAGAACCAAGTTATTTATGACATAATTAAGCAAACAACAGCATTATACTAACTCATTCTTCAAAGAGATATCCTGAGATAATGGTACGTATCACTCATCTAAATCTCCAAACAATATGCTATCTATCAAAAACAGGCAATTGTCAGTTGAGGTAATTTCCCAGTACCACACACTCAGTGCAGGTCACTCAGTAATCTGGTGCACTCAAATCAGTGTTTTCCTCTATCAACAGGCAATTTAAGCATCTAATTAACAGGTGTTTAAGGTAATCCTGTTGGTATTTTCTTTAAACACTTCTGGCAACTGTTTTAACCCACTACAGGGTGCAGCAAACACAGACTTAGTAGTTAGCAGCCCAGTTTGTATGGTGGCAGAAGCAAAGCAGGCCCTAAGAGTCTGCTTCAGACAGAATGGGATTGTGCCACTACCGTGCAGAAGGCAGAAGCACTACAAGGCTCCATCCCCAGCACTCACTGGAGAAGATACCCTGGGATGGCTCCGTCTCAGCTGAGGCAGAGTTCCAGAGGGAGCGTGCTGCCATGCAAGACTCAGTCTGTAGGATGACACTGGCATCACAGTGGGAGATACGGTCTGGCTGGGGCACTGAGACACCAGCAAAAGAAGCAGTGAGAGGAGGTGAACAGACTGGGAAGGTTTCGTCACTGCAATATAAGAAAGATATTAAGCTATTAGAGAGCCTCCGAAGGAGGACAACAAAGAACCTAGAATTCCCTAGAAGAATGCCACTTTAACAGCCATAGCTCTTTCCCTTTCGAAGGTTTATAAGATTACAAGATTTCTGAGCCATATCAAGAACACATACAAACCAATGCAAAGGATATTTCTGTTTTAAAAATAAAACCAACAATACATTTAAAATGTCCAGCTCGTATTGAAAAATAAAACCACAGTCCTCAGAAAGTTTCAGTCTGAAGTAATCTTTTATGGATTGGATAATACTCCATCTGCTGCTACTTCAGGAAAAAAAACTAGACAGTCAGCTGATCCTCGTATCTATTATAAGGCCACCATCCTTTACAAAACTTGCAGGCAACAGGACAACTTACCAATGGCTTTTGTGTAATGTCTGGCCCCAAGTAACAGCTCTGGAGCTCTGTACCAGAATGTCACCACAACTGGATCCAAGTCTGCCAATGGCTTCAAAGGCGAGTTAAACAATCTTGCAAAACCCATATCAGCTGGGGAATGGGGAGAAAAAATAGAAAAGAATATTTATTTAAATTTTAATACAAAGAAAACAAAATTTAACAGTATTGCCAAAACCAATTATAACAAAAGCTCAAAAACATTAAAAGTTACAAATCAAAGTTTCTAACAAAGCACAATTACTCATAATAATACTGAGCCAAATTTATATAAGACTAAATTCCATTTACTTCGTTCATAAGACTATGAGACTATGAAGGATAATGTTTGACTTCAGTGTTTTCATCATGGGATTGTAAAACTTCACACAACACAGACATCTGTTTATTTTTTAAAAAAACTCCAAAAGAAACTTGGTTAACTGAAGTCAATAGTGGTAGGTCTCTAATGTACATTTTTTTATTTTCATAGTAATTTACAAAACTGTGAGTCTTTGTGGCTGCTATATATTTACCCAAAGTGCAAAACCAAAATGACTACAGTGTAGATTGTTTTGAACTATTTTTCAAGGCATGCCTCCTACTTGATTTGGAGGAATGAACTCCAGAATCAGTCAGCATATACTGTTACAGAGGTGTATTTTAAAAGTAAGCACTGATATATAACTCAAAAATTCTCTCTAGAAAGAGTCTTGTAACAGTAAGAAATGCTCAATGGGAAAGTACAAAATTAGGCGTATCATCAAACCCACACATTTTAAATCCAATTTAAATCTCCAACTTATCTTTTATACCACTTCACTTAAATCTTTCTGCTTCCAAAGTTATGAAATGCCAAGTATAATTTTCTTGCTGTTGCCCATACAAATACAAGCATATAAATCAATAATTATTAGCAGAACATTTTCAAACACAACAAAATTGATGAATGGAGGGTCCAATATGAAAAACTGATGAAGATCTGTTTCTGTCTTACAATGAAGATCCGTTCTTTTAAAGTAACCCCTTAGCTATGCAATGAAATTTTCTAAAAATGTTTACCTATTTTAACTCTTCCTCTTTCAGGGCCTTCACCCATTACTAGAATGTTTGCTGGTTTCTGGAAAACAAAAAAGCAGAATTTTTAGTTGATCAGCCTTTGGTGATTATCTTCAAGAAGAATAAAAATATGTACATTCATTTTATAACTAAAACATTTCTGGAAATATCCTTAGAAGTCTAAAATTACCATACCTTCATGTTTTGCTGACATTTAGTTATTATCCCTAGTTATCAATTTCACAATTAGAAAAACAGAAAACTACTTTGACGTTTCACTGTAAGAAATGCAATCTTTAACTACATTTGCATTCCTATTGTTAGCAGAATGATTAGGTTCAGTGGAAAGATTTTCTTCTACAGGAAGCAGTTTTATGCTACACATCAATAACCTGGCAAAACCCACTTTTGCTAGTATAACTTACTGAAAGTGATGTAAATCTTGGTATGCAAATGAGTATGCATCCATGAGTGTCAGTTTTATTATCATCATATATAACTCAATTTTTAGAGCTGTGTTTGTTTTTAGAGTACGAATGAAAAAAATTCACATTGGCAAAAGAACTTATTCCACAAAGTTGATTTCATGCTTGAAAATTCACTCAAAACAGGAATATACACAGACAGCTACGTCCACAAGCTTTTGACAGTGTAGACAGCAGTTTTGCAAGTAGAACAAAAGCTTTATAGACATTTTTTGCAATCCGTAGTTGTTTGCAACCAGCTGCTTGTGAACACCACATAAAATCTGCACATGACATGACAGCAATTGTTCTGCTATTAGAATCTAGGTTCCCTCAGACACCAATAATCATTCCTTGGAAACTTTCCCCCTATTGTGTTAACAGCTGTAAAAAAGTAAACAAGATTGAAAACATAAAGTGATTTGAATGAAGAGATGCATAACAAAGTTTCAAAGCAGAATTTTTGGGAGGTTAATCCAAACAACAATTGTATTTAAAATCCCTAATGCCCAGAGAAGTCTGCTCAAGCAGGATTTGTCTGAGAATATGAAAGAGATGTCCAGAAAGCCAACACCAAAATTTCACTTAAATTCTCAGTTCCTTGACACTATTTACCTGAAATGAGACACTCAAACTAGGGTTACTAATTCTGCTCAATATTACAAATCTTTAGCTTTTTTGAAAAAGCAAACCAACCAACAACAACAACAAAAAAAGCACCCTACCTCACCTATTCTTTCTCTTTCCCTGGGACGCTGCTCTCCCTTTCCACCTCACATCCAGTGCTAGACATTGCTTCTTCCCTGGCTCCAACCACAACCTCTCTTTCCAGATGGTATTGCCTCTTTTATTACTTCTTTTTTAATCTATAATTGTCAACGCCATCCCTAACTTTTTATTCCCCAACATATATTTGGAACCATTTAAGAGGCAATATGCACTCCCTTCTTGGAGAACACAAGAGCTATTTCAATCCATCTTGAGCAAACACTCACCAGCAAATCTAGGGAAGATAAAAATTATGCTTACGCTTAGCTAATATTTAAGGATAATAAAATCAACACCTCAAGGTAGCTGTCAAACTCTGGTTGTACATTTATGTATTACGCTGAATTGAATATTCCAGGGAACAGAACAATCCGATTCTGCATATTCAGTAATCAGGTAGCAAGGGAAGCATGCAAGTTCAAGCAAGAGAGCAAAATTCTAGTCTCTTTGCCAGAATTCTTCCTAAATTTTTGCCTAGAGAGTTGAGTATGACGAGTTTGCTGGACCGATGGGCTGAGGGCAACGATATGAGGTTCAGTGGCGCAGTGTTGTGTCCTGCCCTTGGCCCACAACAACCCCATCCAGCACTACAGGCTGGGGGAAAGAGCGGCTGGAAAGCTGCAGCTGCAGGCATTAGAACAGGCTGCCCAGGGAACTGATGGAATCACCATCCCTGGAAGCGTTCAAAAAACATGGATTTGGCACTTCAAGACATGGTTTAGTGGTAGACATGGAGGTGAGAGGTTTACGGTTGGACTCGATCTCAGAGGTTTTTTCAACCTAATGATTCTGTGATTCTATGAATCACAAATCACTTCAACAGACCTTTATATTCAGGATTGGATTTTAAGCGCTATAAAAATGCATTTATTTGTCAAGTGAAAAAAGCAGATAAAAATGTAGTTACTGCGCTGATTTATGGGTCAGGTTTTTTCTAATTAGGTTGTAAGAAACAAACATTATAACACCAGGAGATTTACTAAGATAAAAATCAAAATCTAAGCATAAACAACAGGATTCTCAAAACATCTCACCAGAGTTGCATTTTATCTGTGACAATACAAGATTCTCCAAGCAGCAATTTCTTCATAGAAAAAAACTCCAACTATTTTATCTGCTGACATAATCCACAATATTCATAGAACAGCTGAGGTTGGAAAGGACCTCTGGAGATCATCAAGTCCCATCCCCCTACTTTGAGCAGGGTCAACTACAAAGATTGGTCAGGCCCGAGCCCAGCTGAGTTTTAATCTTTTCCAGGGACGGAGATTACACAGCCTGTCTCTAAAACTTCCAGTGTTTTACCACCCTCACAGTAAAAAAGGTTTAGTCACACACTACATTTATGCCCATTGCTGCCTGTCCTGCCACTGGATAGCAACACGAAGAGTCTGGTTTGGTTTTCTTTATTCACACTTACCAGGTATGTATATGCATTGGTAAGATCCCACACAAGCCTTTCCTTCTTGAGGCTGAACAGTCCCAGCTCTCTCAGCCTCAGAAAGACACTCCGAAGCCCTAAATGACTTAGTGGCCCCATGCATACAGGAGATACACTACGTTAGATCTAAACTATGGAAGCAAGAGACTTGTCCATTTATGTAATTTTTAAAGCCAGTATGTTTTGAAGAGATGTTGTTCTGTTTAAAATGTAAATCTGTACTAACGTGTAATCCACCTAAGACCAGAACCCAGCTTGGGCAGCCAGCAGAGAAGCAAGCAGATTTATAAACTTATCATAGTCATGTTGATTAGCTCTTGTGAACCTCTGTATCTGAGAGAGTCAGGGGAAACTGAGAAGGAATAAACTGGGAAACAACTGAAAACTTATTTCCAAAAGAACCAGCACTTATCCTGAGGCACCACCGTCAATGTGGAGATGACAGGCATTTCATGGATGGCAATCTGATGCCTGCAGGATCCCACTGATCTGCAGATCACTGTCTCAGTACCAGCTTGAGTTCCTCTTGATAATCAGAGCTATTCTGGCTAGGAAAGCACTTTCAATGCATGTACACTGAACCAGTCAAAGAGTAACACTAAGTTGATAGGGCCCATCTTTCTGAGATACAACATATGATATCCAGCTCCTGTACCCATGAATTTTTATTTAATAAAAATATACAGTTTCAGAGGAGCTTAAAACATAGGTCACATGTTTTGTGGTTGTTTTATATGATGACTTGAACACTGTAAAGTAAAACTCCTCACCTCCCCAGAGTCTTGACAATACACATGCTGTGCTGAGAGTAACACAACCCACATGGAGCAGCAGTGCTTGGCTAAACAAGTGGCATGAAGGCAGAGTAGTAGAACTTCAGGTGCTCAGGTATGGAGCAAAGACTTTAGTTTACTTCAGAGAGATTAATCTGGCATCAGAGATCCTCAGGAAAATATGTAATAAACGTTCCATCATGACATCAGAGATTGGACTGCTTAAGGGGAATGCAAACAACTTCTTGGAGAAGGTAGAATGTGTTAGTCTAATCTCTGTATACATAGCATCTTAAATATCAAAACATTTTACTCCAAGATAGTAATTTAAGTCTACTATAAAGCTACAGTCTAGTATACTGTAGTTACTGGACAGCTGCAAAAAATCAGACTCAAAACCCAGGAATTAAAAAGCCCCATATCTCAGGTTTATTCAGGCTACATACAAGTCATAAGCAGCAGTCTAGTTCCTAAACAAATCCTACTGCTATCCATGTAAGGAATAAAACAGAGTTTTAGGTGGAAGAAAACATGAAGAACCAAGCAGCAGCTAAGAGACCAAAGCCCAACACAGAGTAAATCATGTCTCTATCTGATAATTTCAATAAAGAAAGTTTGAGAAGCCCTGCTTAAAATTATTAACTAACTCCTTAGAGTAAAGGGTAACTCAACAAGGACTACACTTTCAACTAGTTACATCCCAATTAACACTCTCTCTATTTTCCTCATACTCTCCCCTTGCTGAGAACACAAACACCAGCTGGGAAGCAAAGTGATGTTGCTGCATCTCCACCTATCTAGTTGCTATAGGAACAACAGAAACAGTAAGAGTTATGAGTCTCACACTTAATGTAAGCTATAAAAATGAACAGACAAATCTCGGCTGAGAAATACAGTTGAGGTTTGACTGTCTATAGAACAACTGCAAAAAGAGCAAAGTCAGCAGCAACAAACAACTGCAGCAAAAATCTGAAATATCTGCAAAAAGGGATGATGATGATTTAATACGTTCTTTACAAGTAATGAGCATGGATAATAGTATTTACTTTTCTGCATTAGTTGGAGAGAGGTAATAAAGCAATTGAAATCTTAAAAAAATATCTTGGTGGGAGAGAAATTAAAATATTGGGTTAAGAAGTGTTTTTCACAAATAATAGAAGTGTCATGACCGGAACTCGTACAGACACCCACGTTATCTGAATCAATATGCTTCCTATTTTAATATTTAGACAGTAAATTAGAAGAAAGGTTGAAAGAAAAGAAACCATCTATGGTCTTAAAAGAGCATAACAGGTCAAACGAGGAATAACAGCCTAACAATAGATTGCAATACTCTAGTTGTAATGGTTGTTATCTCCTTAAGTACAGCAGTGACACAATTCTTAAGAGATTTGGTGCAGACTTACAGTCCTGTAAGAAAACGTCCATAGGGATACACCACTTTCCAAACACCATTGTTTATTGTTTATATGCAAACAAATGTGTTTCCCTTTTGGAATGTATCACTGGACAAAGAATAATCTGAAATTAGGAGGATTCCATTGTACAAGAGATTGCAAGTCTTCCAGATAAAAGCTGTCCCCACAATTACAGAAACTGCCTTGTGATGAGGTCT